TACGGAGCAGGCAATAAGTCCAGCAGCTATCTCAATCAATCGTCAGCTATGGAAAGATCGGGTTCCAAAGGCCGGATCCCTTGTGAATCAAGTCACGAAAAGTTCAAGAATCGGCAACAGGCCATGGGCCTATGTCTTCAACGCCGACACTTCTATTCTATTTGAGATCTCAAAACATGTCATTTAGCCGTTTTTTTTTCAAAACTGACGATACCTAGTTTGAAATCGCTACTAGACTTCCACCAGGTTAGATTTCAAGTCTGACTTCCAGTTTACGCATTTCAAGTCTGAACATATATTTTTCCATAGCTTTATCTCATGGTTGAATCAGTTCTGAGCTGAAGCCATGGTTGAACTAGTTCAAGATCCAGTCAAATGACACGATTTTAGATCTTCTTTGAACAAGGCACGAAAAGTAAAAGAAACGGCGACAGGTCACATCAGGCCTACACTTCAGCGCCGACATCACTATGTTATCTTATGTTATGTAACCATGGCTTTATCTAGTATGTTTTTGAACGCGTTTATACTTGGAGCGTCAACGATGTAACCAGGGAGGCTGTTCAACATGTCGGTGACATGAAGCGAGAAGAAATGTTGTCGCGTGGATGAGTTGCTCAGCAGTTTTTTTTATTGTATAGTCGTGACCCCTGATGCTTGTTCTTTTTTAAAATTCTAGCAATCCTTCTGGGACCTTGTATAAGCCATGAGTATACTTGTATGCTTCAATGAGGTCCCCACGCAGACGTCGATAACTGAGGCTTGGAAGCTTCATAAGCTTTAATCTTTCTTCATATGACTTGCCCTTCGAGCCAAGCCTGGAATTTCCCTTGTAGCGCATCCTAAATATTTGTCTTAGAATATTCAGGGGCAGGAAATTAAAAACTAGCATAAGTATAATATGATGCAGCCGGTTCCGGTTTATGCCTGTTTTCGGGAGGTTTAGCTTGGAAAGCCGTTAGTCCGTGACCTCACGGACGGACGCGAAAATGCGCTGTCACTCACTGCAGTGAGTACTGATCTAATTTTTGATAGTACTGTTCCTGCTCTACAGTCTACAGTCTACACCATGAACGGCTTCGGTTTCCCCGATTCGACTTGAAGTTGGGGACTGGAAATCAGCAAGCCGTGTAAAACATTATTTTCCGTCAAAAGTATCGCTTTTACGAACCAGTTCAGTGTTTGACGGATAAGCGCAAGTATTTTCTCAATTATTTGGAAAATCATCTTGAATATCACTAAATAAATTAACCCAATTACAGAACGCTGGGTATACCGCTGCACTTCTCAGTTTCTCGTGACCTAGCTACCTTGACAACAGTCAGCTTACTTCCAACCAAAACGTATCTCGTATCTCAACCGCCGACTACGAAGGACTTGTACAAAGCCATGCTGATTTTCATCTATCAAGTAGTTCCGTTGCCGATGCTCTAACGCCAGCTCTCTAACAAAATTTTCCATCGCTCTATATAGACTTCAGGTGATGCTAACAGATGCAGTGAATAGTTTTTTGGTTATTAGTTAATGTTTTTCGTTCATTCTTTACGACGGGTACAGCTAACGCATGATTCTATTGCTTGGACAATTTGGCATCTGACATCAAACATCTGAATAAAGTCTAGTGAAGTTCTTCTAGCTGATCAGCAATAGAATCCGTAATGTCAAAAGATGGTGCGAAATTTCAAAACTCGGTACCCTCAAAATGCATATGTATTAAAGTACATCCATGGACTCTTACTCTAGCGCTCCAGTAACTTCCCATACAACCTGTGTGGAAAACACGCTCTAACATAAGTCATTCAACGGGACGAATTCTTGAAAGGTGGGATCAATTCCCTATCGTCATTCAAGTCTGCCTCATAGAATAGAAGTGTCGGCGTTGAAGAAATAGGCCCATGGCCTGTTGCCGATTCTTGTACTTTTCGCGACTTGATTCACAAGGGATCCGGCCTTTGGAACCCGATCATTCCATAGCTGACGATTGATTGAGATAGCTGCTGGACTTATTGCCTGCCTCATGACTACTTTATTTTTTTTACATAGCCATAAAAACACCTTAATTAAGGTTCTTTTTCCGTCGCCCTCCTGTTTGCTTCTAAGCGTTCCTGCACATTATTTACCTTTCAGGACAAAAATAATTTGGAGGCAAACTTTGTACCAAACAAACTGAAATGATTAGCGTCATTTTGAAACCTTCATGTTTTGTTTAAATACGAAAATTCAATAAATGCCATTATGTGACTCTAAATTTTTATTCTAATGTTGAATGCAAGACTTATTTTTCGTTGTTAAATTTCTATTGGCTTTCTTTTGCAAAGAATGAATACGGAAGAGAAATTTAGCTCATATTATTTCACAAATATGCTATAAAATGATGAAAAACGCTGATAAGTTTAGTTATATTTATTGAATGATATCGCAAACAACGAAACAATAATACAAGAACAGACAACGACGTCGAGACTACAACGCGGGAGCTGAAGATGAAACGTCGCTAAAGAGAGCTCTTTAACCGCCAAGAAAAAGAGCTCCCGCCAAGAGAGAGAGAGAGCTCTTTAACCGCCATGAAAATGGTGTATATGTACTGCTAAAAAAACGATGCACTAGAATTGCATGAAAATGATGTCCATGCACTAATAAAGAAAAACAGAAGTTGCACTACACTCATCAAAAAAATGATGTCCATGTACTGAGAAAAATAAAGACGCTGAACTATCCTTGCAGTAAAATTATTTACATGTACTACTAAAAAAGGACGTTGCTATATACTCGCAAGAAAATGATGTACATGTCACTAGTGCTATAGCAGGCGTTGCACTATACTGGCAACATGTTTCGTAATTATTAAGTATTAAACGTAGTTGGCACTTAAAAGGATCTGTACAAATGTTATTTAATTGAAGTATCTCACATGGAAAACGATATGAACACACACACGCTCACACGAGTTGAATACTCAACTTATCAAGCGCAGAAACGCGACAAATCAAAGTCAAGTATGAACCAAATCCATACAAACTATTAATATCAAATAACAATGAAAAATAAGGGCACTAGAACAAGATAACAAATCTTTCAAACTAGGAATACGCGTTGGTAAAAATAATTAACTAGACTACGGGATTCTACTTCTGTAAAAAATCATTCAGTCAAGTTTGTGAGTTAATTATAGTATCTCTTAAAGCACGAATGCTTTAATTGAATAGTTGGGGCAGATGTTAGAACAAAATATGCTAAAAAAATAATACAATATCCTGTCCTGATTCAAAACTGAGCGCCGTACGTCAAAACGCACAGCGTTGACACGCATACCAACAACGGTTTGTACGATGTGTAGTCGCAGGCTATTGAATTCCGGTATTGAACATAAGTCTCATTAAGCAAATTGAAGCTTGATCTTCCGACAATCGTAGAACATGATCACAGTTTAAATTATAGGTAAAAATAATACAATGAAAAAATGTATACCTAAATGCGTAACACCCTGAAGAACGTCAAGTTTTCATATTAAAAACAACTATGAAAACAAAAAGAAACAAAAGTTTGCCACAACATGGAAAACACAAAAAAGTTGATGAATCCGCACAGACCCTGAAAACCACCGCTCAATATAAGAAATTGTAGAAGTTATTTTTTACTTAAATGTAAAGATAAAAATCTAAACTCGGTCCAAAGTAAAAAAAAGCCCTAGTCATGTTAAAAAAATAGGGTTTGACCGCAAATATTACGTCCAAAATACAATGATTCCGTGCTCATTAGATAGCAGTCGGTCCGACTGTTCGTCTTGAGGAAGAACTTTTCCTGACGATTCTCCTGGAGCTCAATTGTGACCGATCGCACGCCACGACCGCAGGTTTGGAACACCTGCCATCTACACCCACCGACACCAGACCGATGGTGATGGTAGGCGAGATGGGTAGACCTGTGATCAAAGCCTTGGTTCTGTGGGGAGACTTGATGAACTGGACCACTTGGCCTCCTACCACCACCTGGAAGCCTGCCACGCAGTCGTGGTCTAGAGGGTTCCATGCGATCACCACGCCATCTTTCCCCACGTGTCGAGTAACTCGGAGATCTTCGGGCTTGGGAATACACCCGCTGCCATCCACTTTACAACTGCTGCTTAGAAGTGCCGGAGGATCTGTCGAGGTTGAGCCAGCCGGTCGCCATTTTGGAGGGGATGAAGGAACCTGCCCTCGCGAGCAAGAAAGAGAATTTGAACGTGCGTTTCTCACGGACGAGTGAGCATCTGATGAGGATTTTTTGTCGAATGTATGAAGTGAATGTTGAGATGGAAGGGATTCGCTATTCGAAGCGGACTCTGCGGCGGTAGGGTCGAGTTCGCCGGCAGCGATGCAGTTCACTCTCGCGCGTGGCGGAGCGACGTCAGTCTGGCGGAGGAAACAGATACGTTTCAACTGACCATTGTTCTCCTTCAATTACGCATATTAATAAAATGATTGATACATGGAAGACAAATATTAATGATTTATTTTTATGAATGGAGATTGAAAATTTGTTTAATGTACATTAGATAAATGTTCAATTAAATAATTCCTCCCCTTTAAATTATAATAGGCTAATTTTGTATACAAACCATTTTTACGTCACAGCCAAGGCAGTACGAGCGCACATTCAATGTTTTATGCTACCGAGAAGCTCGAGTAAACATGGTATGTTTCCAGCAAACTGCATTATTTACAAAACTTATTATTGCATTTTTTATTAAAAAACTATTGCAACTCACGAGCATCCTTCTTATACATCGAGCATCTGATACGGCATTGGGCTTGTGTGTGACGTGAGAGGGAACCTGCGAATTTCATGAAAACACACGATTAGCATAAATTGAATTTTTGATTAAATACAAAAACCAAATTTAATCAAAGTATTAATTTGTTCGTTGATAAATGCAATTTGAAGGAACTAAATACTGCTCAAGTAAAATAAGTTGCCAAACCACGCTATGTTTTCTACATATGTGCATGATATGAAACTAAAAAAATAAACTATGACAGGAAGATGAAGTTTACAATAAAAAAGTAAATGCAATAATTCATAGAGCATACAATGAATCTCTATTTAAAAATTTCACATTTAGTTTAGACAATGGTGCATTGCAGAAATCCGAGTTTACATCTTCGTTGATCGAAAAAAATACGGAAATTTGCAAAGAAACAGAACTTGATATTTGCGATGAACCAGATGGAATCTTAGCAATTTGAAAGATCAATAAGAAATTCAACGAGAAATTATCCAAAGGCTGAGCAAATGAACAGAATTAAAGCTAACAAATATTACATCATGAATAAATAAATAAAAATTGTGAAATACCAGAAGTTAAACAAATAGCGTAAAAATGCACAAAGGGCTGAAGAGCATTCGAGGGATAAGAATTGAAAGCTCATCATTTCCAACAACAGAAAAAAATGAAGGACCTACGACAAAAATTAAGAACTACAGTACAATTATGTGTAAAATTATGGCCAAAATTGTATTGATTAAATATCAATTTATTTTAGGTTGCTCAGAAAACAATGGTTTTCCCGATGGCACCATGGTCATTGATGAACTCGAATGTTTTTTTAATAATTATAAATTTAATCGAAAAAAATATAAATACTAGTGCTATTTTGAAAAAGACTTAATATACATACTATATGAGAATTAAAGTGCTAAAAATGGAAAAATGTGATATACAAACGACAGAACGACAGAAGGAACCTTGGAGCAACGGCCGCTGGCATCACAGGACGTCGCAGGATGTCCCCTTTTTGACCATGCAATGCCACCTCGCGCTGTGCTTGCTGGCTTGCAAGCTAAACCAGATGGTGCAAGAGAGAGTTTCGGTGCTGGGATAGATGGTGCATGGCTTACTTTCTGACGTATAGAAGATTGTGATAGGGATACGGTGGGGCACGAAGACTGTGCTGAGGATACAGTGAAGCATGAAGGCTGTGGGAGGGATACGGTGGAGCATGAAGACTGTGAGAGGGATACGGTGGAGCATGAAGACTGTGCTAAGGATACGGTGGTGCATGAAGACTGTGATTGGGATACTTCAGAGCTCGAAGACTGTGCTAAGGATACGGTGGTGCATGAAGACTGTGATTGAGATACTTCTGAGCACGAAGACTGTGCAGAAGAAACGTTACAGGGTGGATATGATTGGATATTAGGTACTTTCTTTTCTGTCGGTAAAGGCGACACTTTCTTCCCAACAGAAGTGTTTGCCGTTGGTGAGTTGTGCACACTAATAGAAGGTGTCAGAACATCAGTAGAGTTTGGGGCGCAAGTTATGGTGGTTCGAGCGGTGGGTCGAGGAATGAACGACTGTCTTGCTGGGCCTATCCTACGGAAGCAAGTTTGTGTTGTTTGGGTATACATATGAATAGAAGGTATTGGAGGTACTGGGTGAAGCGGTTCTTTAACCTGAGGAACTTCGTCTCGGTCTGTGTGCACTCGTATTACGATACTGCTACCTTCTTCATTTTCAAAAATTTCAGACGTAACTTCTGTGTTAAAGTTGCAGTACGGTTCTTGGATAACTTTATGGCTATCCTGCGCGAATACGTTTCCGTTTAGGGCTTGGTTCACGGAACACGAAACTGATTTAACTCCTTCAAAAGCCGGACTTGATGAAACATCCGCAACGAAGTCATTATTAATCTTTGAATTCTGATCATTTAAAGAGGGATCATTATCTTGAGGCGATTTCACAGCACATACGACAGGTTCAACAATTTCTGATTCAATTATATCAAGTTCACATCGCGGTATTAGATCGAGCGTCCGGACATCACTGAATTGTTCAGACACTTGAACAGGAAAATGTGAGGTGTGTTCTGATGTGGTTTGTGTCTCTTGATGAGTCATTATAGGGCGAAGGAAATCCCGCTCGACAGTTTGAGAGCATTTATCGAGCAGTAGTTCTCCATTCACTGAGAGAAGAGACTCTCTGATGAGCATCAGAGAACCAAAGACCATCTGTGAGTGAAGAGAAACCGGTTGTGCGGTAGACATTTTCTATGCAGGTTTAGGCAAACGTTCCGAACTATCACACTACACACGTGGGTCCATCATATATATAATTCGATAATTTAAGGAAGAAGATGTAGAGAAATTCGTGACTGGGTGGTAAATAGAGAAAGTTTTACTGGACAAATAAAATTCATAATCAAATTCTCGTCGTGAATATCTAACAAGGTAATATAATCGATATAATATAAATAGAATGAATACTTCCTCAGTTATACTTCATTAGTTGAGAAAATAAAAAAAATAACGAACTATTTCCATATATATTTTAAAATTTATAGATTTTGATTTCGCAATAAACTGAGAAATGTAAAATATATTCAAAAAATATTGGTAAAGCGAATTGTTTATTGGGTTTCAGTAATTAATGTTAATGTTATTGATAGAAATATATCAGCGGAATTAGTGTGGTAAGTGAATGCGGTATCAACAAAGTTCGCCCTCTACCACAATGACAAACAAGCATGAGTGAAAGGCATGCTTTAGCTAGATGTATATAATCTCCCAGTATGACTTCATTAACGTGCAAAACAAATGAAAACATCCCAAGAACATGAAGAAAGCGTTTTTAAATTTGTAAAGATATTATTGTTACGGACCAGTTGTGTTATTACGAGGTCCACACCGTACCTTCGATTAGCGGGATCACCAGCATGCACGCTACACAAGTAATCACCAACATCAATAACAAATGAAATATCATTACAATGATCCTGCTGAACATCCCCAATGATAGTGCCGCAGCAACACTCCCAATGATAGTGCTGTAGGTGTACGATCACAAAGCACTCGAAACGGTACATTGAGACCCCATATTAAAGAAAAGTTCGACTGGGAATCTGCAATCTTAAGACACACGGGAAGGAGCATAACATTTGTCTCATTGTTTCAATGTACACCATATTTATTGAGTCATTCCTTAGCACTACTTAACACCACACTTAATGGGCCACTACTTATTACTACTTAACACCACACTTATTGAGCGACTACTTAACACCACACTTAATGAGCCAGCAATATCTAGTTAACAAGCCGACAAAGCAGATGAATGAGAACCAACTGAGCAGATGATAGATAATACACTTAATCAATTAATCATGCATTGTATGATCGTGCTGCACTCCAATATACCCTCATGCCAGTTAACTCGTCCAGTAATAATGTTTCAAGACTGATGTTCAACGCGAGGTTGATTCAGCGAATAAAAAAATTAAACGTGATATTTGGTTTGTATACAGTATATTTGTCACCGAATGTATCCTTACATAAGCGTCTACAGCGACATTTCAGTCGTGAAATTACAGCTCATACATTCAGTCTTTGATTAGTTTTTGTGCATTATCGAGTGTGAATCAAACGTACGACAATCTGGAATCATATACTCGTATACATACATATAACGATTTGGTCCGTTTGTAATGCCATGACAATTGAATTCAAACGAAATCATGCACCTTCAAGCTGAACACCGATATTAAGATTGTAATAGAAACCTACGATCACCGTAGAAGCTTTGAGGCTATTGCATCCCAGACATGTAAAATGTGCGTAATTTTGTATAATATGTGAAATTCAAACGAAAAGGTGCGTACAATTGAGAGCGCCAAGCGGTGGCTACGTAGGAAGGCGAAGGTTTCGACTGGAGGGCTTGAGGGCCTTCAGCGGGTGCCATGTTTTGGACTTGACGAGATGGCGCAGTGTCCCCTACAAGGCAAGGGATACTGAGATGTTTCAGTGTTGCCTCAAAATGCAAGGCAAAGGACACTGAATTGCCTCAGTGTTACCTAAGGTGCAAGTCAGGAGATGGTGATATGCCGCAGTGTCCAATAAGATTCGAGGTTAAAGAAATGATGTAGGTGCAGTATTGCCTAAAAGGCAAGGCAAAAGACACTGAAATGCCGCAGTGTCTCCTAAAGTGCAAGGAAAGGAGTACAAAAATGACACAGTGTCTCCTAAAGTGCAAGGAAAGAAGTACAAAAATGACACAGTGTCCCCTAAAATGCAAAGAAAGGGATACTGAGAGGCTGCAGTGACCCCTATAGAGCAAAGAGTGGTGCAAAAATGCCGCAGTTCCTCCTTATGTGCAAAGAAAAGGGTTCAAAAACCCTGCAGTGTCCACTAGAGAGCAAGGAAATGGCACAAAAATTGCCGCAGTGTCTCCTAAAGTTCAAGGCAACAGATATACAACAGCGGAAACACAGGAAGATTTTTCTAGGAAATGACTAATTAACAATTTTTGTGAGTCGTGGGCACATGAAATATAATATTTTTTCCAAACTGTCAGCAAATATTCCATGTTATTGTCGGCATCTGCAACGAACGGTCGCTCCCAGGAACCCCCCTGTAGTTTTTGCACTGTCAGTCAATTGCGTAGGATAAGGGAATCATAAAAAAGCACTAAATCAACAAGAGCGAACAACAGCACTAAATCAGAAAGAGCAAACAACAGCACTAAAACAACAAAGGCTAACAACAGCATTAAATCAACAAGGGCAAACAACAGCACTAAATAAACAAGGGCAAACAAGAGCACTAAATCAACAAGGGCAAACAACAGCAATAAATCAACAAGGTACAACAGCACTAAATCAACAGGGCAAACAACAGCAATAAATCAACAAGGACAAACAACAGCACTAAATCAACAAGGGCAAACAACAGCACTAAATCAACAACAGACTTTCGTCACAGAATACGAACCTAGGCCAGCGTCGGCCGGCCTTCACTCACGTCTGCAATAGCGTACACAATTCATCAAAGACTCGTTACTCGGCGGTCCGTATATGTGTAACATCTAATATATTTTCTTAATGAGTTTTTTTTTCTAAGTTAACAGGGCGTAAACAATTATTTCATCGATATAAAAAAATCAAACCCTTAATAAGAATCGTGTTATCAAAATCTCATTTCGAAAACGGCGATGTGAGGTAATCGGAAATATATTTTTCAAAGTTTTGTAGGATTTTTTAGAAATTTGACCTCATCGTGCGCTATATATGGTACACGGTTATATATACCTGTCTCAACTTACATCGTACGTCACGAGTAGGTTGATGTTATAACACTACGATGATTAGTAGCGCTTGGTTCGTTAGGTGGAATAAGCGAACTATAAAAAACTATGTAAGATTTAAATTAAATGAAAAAATATATGTCCGAGAGTACCTCGGACATATACATAATTTCATATTCATTTGCATTTCAACGTAATAACCTTAATTTTTCAGTCTTTAGTTCTATTTTAGAATGTAAAATTACTCAGATTGCATCAAATTGAAGTTCGATAATCCCTAATATATGATGGCTTCGCTAGAGTAGTTTCAATCATTCAGTCTACGAGCTATACATTGAGCTGGTCTTTGTTTATCTATATCAATTTTATCAATGCTTAATCAGCATCTCTTTACGCGCACACTTTTTGGTTTATCGAATGTGTTATACACTCTACAATTCCCTGAAACATGAAATATTTCACAACCTGTCAGAGGTGGATAGATATTCTCTTCCGATGAACCATAAATGATTCATCATTTCTTCATCTGAATTACCAACTTTTTGTAATCTTTGTTACTGGCTTACATAATTTGGTGAGTATAGAGAACTGTGAAGACGTAATTCTCACCCAAATTCAATATTTTGACCTCTATTTATTTCACAATCCATATATGTCATGTCCATACAAAAATGAATGTCCTATTTTTTGGATGTAATTCAACATATCACTGATTTATGGTCAAACACGGTTGAAAAAACAGTTATATTATTTTATTTTGAGTGATAGTGCGTAAATACACATGGCACACATTGTACAGAAGAATAAATCTCTTTCTCCCCACATCATCTACCACAATTGACGCGCATTTCCGTGGCCACATATGGCGCATGATGTGCAGAATGATGGTAGTTCTCCCTGTCCACATTGTATACCACATTTGTGCTACGGTTTATATTGTAAAAAATTGCGAAAAGTAATTATACTTTCGCAGGTCAGAACCGAGATTAGTGTTCGTGATGCCGACGAAATTCGTGTGCCGTGCTGAGCATTGATTGGTTTAATCGTACAAAAATGGAACTGCACACACCATATTTGTGCCACGGTTTCTATTTAATTTATTTATTCGTACAAAAATGGAACTGCAGACAACTTCTCTTTTCGCAGTGTTGCTGCTAACTGACGAGACGCATGTTTGGATAAGATGCAGGTAGCGTAAATGGGCTAACATCAGAGATGAGGTCAAAGTGTTGAATGTAAAAGTTCAAGACATGCGAGTTCTGTATAAGATATAGGCTATCAAGGTCCATACATTTACCACCAAACACGTATTAAAGGTACAATTTTTTTTCAGCGGAATTGCTACCATGAATATCATGAACCCTGTACACTGTTAGAAAAAATTACCGTTAACGGTATTACCGGCGTTTCAGTGGCCGGTCGGCACGTGAAAAAAACACCGTTTCGCCGTTTCTACTCTAATTTAACACTAGAAATCCGTAAAACATCTGATAAAAACGGTAAAACAGTTTATTTTCACGGGGCGACCGGCCACTAGAACGCCAATGGGACCGTTTTTTCACCGTTTTTTCTAACAGTGTAAAGAACATAGCACTCCGCAACAGACAGGACATAAGACGAGTAAAATGAATAAAACTACAAAGAAATGCGAAAATTAATGCAACAAACCATATTTACAACAGCCTAACAGATAGAAGTAACAAATAAATTTACGAGACAGACTAAAGAAGTTTACGAAAGAGTACAGTAGCGATTGTAATTACACTTAGTTTTAATAATTGCTTGTTAAAAAAATAAAAATCTCCTGTTAACAGACGATGGATAATTCGAAAAGAACCAACAGGAAAAAAAGTTACATCAACAAAACTGAGTAAGTATATAGCTGATCCCATAATTAGATAACCACATACACAAACAATTCAAATATAAAAAACGTATTAATCCTGAAAAATGTCCTCATAATACCTCTCCTGACTTGAATAAAAGTTTAAACTGAACCAAATATAACGTTGTTAGCTCTGTGTGAAATCTAACCGGTTGTTAGAGCAGGAAATGGCCAATGGGAAGGAGGAAGTCCATTTGTTATTCTATTTGAACGAGAAATGTAAATGACAATGGTTATTCCGGGTAGAGAGTTCCACTAACAATAGCGAAGAAATCTATAAAATATTTCAATGTACATTTGTATAATATATTTTAGAGGTTCTAGGTACTACCTATAATTGAACGAAATAAAAATGAAGAGACCTAATGTTCATGAATGTTCAAGCTGAATGTAACTTCGTTTCAGTGATCTGACCCCAAGTGTTTTACTTCCTTAATTTACAAACATAATTTTTGCAATATATTGAATGCAAACAAAATTTTTGTAATATATTGAATACAAACAAAAATTTTATTATTGCAATAACAAAAATAAATGCACAAATGTCATTTTTGAATTAAAATAATTTTAATTGTTAAATAAAGAATGACCATAAAACGCGTTTTCATGTCCTCAATAAAAATACGTTTTCGAACGTCTAGTTGAACAATTCATAACGCAAGACAAGTTTTCTCACCTCATGTGGCCGCATCATGGCGTCACACACAGACTCGACGTCGTAATCGACGATCTCGTCATCATCGTCGTCGGGCGCGACGTTACTCGCAACGTCGCCGTTCGTTATGCCGAGTTTCTGCAGCATCGTCTTACGTTGTCGACGCAACGCTGCGTTGTCGTCTATCTGACGTAACTGCTTCACCGCCACACTCATGTTCGACGTTCTGGGATATAAAAACGTTTTTCGTGGTGTTATTTTAGCATAAAAAGTGTCCGTTAATAACTAGAAGTATCACTTCTCACTATAAGTGTCCTTTCTCACAAGTATCCGCCTTATAAGTGTCCCCCTCACAAGTATCGTCTCTCACAAGTGTCCCCCTCACAAGTGACCCATTAACAAGTACCCCCCTCGCAAGTGTCCCCCTCACAAGTGTTCCCCTCACAAGTGTTCCCTCACAAGTACCCCCCTCACAAGTATCCCCCTCACAAGTGTCCCCCTCACAAGTGTCCCCTCACAAGTGTCCCCCTCACAAGTCTCCCCCTCACAAGTGTCCCTCACAAGCACCCACCTGAGCACGGCGCGTATCTGCATGACGAGCGTGGCGATGATGCGGTCCTTGAGGCGCCCGCGCGCCACCACAGCGTCCACGCGCTCCTGAGGTGGACGAAATGTCTTGGATGAAATATTGGATGAAATTAAATGTTTTGGATGAAATAATGTGTGGATAAAATTAAATGTGTAAAATTAAATGTGTGGATAAAATTAAATGTGTAAATATTCGGAACGGAAAGAGTTCGATGAACGGAAAGTGTTTGCAAAATGCGTTGAATGAAAAGCGCTAAGGCAAATGTGATGCGTGCATCATCTATCACATTAGAGAAGTGGAACTTTTTTAAAGCAAGTATTCGTGACGCTTATGTAAGCTAAACTCTAAATATTTTCTTAGTTTCGTCAACATGTAAAGTGTCTTCTATGTATTGATTGTACCACAAGTCACGCTGATCTCTTCGTAGAATTCATTGAACGAAAAACTAAATAGGTAAATAAAAATATAAATGAATAAATAGATAGATGAATAGAAAAAATATATAAATAAAGTACCACACGTAACGATAATCTCATTTTAGAATTAATTGAACTAAAAACTAAATAGGTAAATAAGAATATAAATAAATAGATAAATGAATAGATTAAATATATAAATAAATAATTAATTTACCTTAAACGAGGACTGTAGTTCGGTATTGTTGGCCTCGTTGGCCTCCAGGCTGCGTAGGAGCTGCTGCTGGAGCTCTGTCAGGGCGCGTCGCACCAACGCCAACTCCGCGTCCTGAGGAAACATGTATCCATTTGCATATTTAATATCCATTATATAAATATTTCGAAATCCATCATATCTAGAGTCTCCAACTAAACTATTCTCGGATATTTAATATCCATTATATAACTACTACAAAATCCATCATATCTCGAATCTCCAACTAAACCATTCTCATACAGCAAGGCGATAAATTAGCATTTATAATATTAAGATAGGGGCAAACAGCTGCATGTGATGTTGTTAATGGCTGTATTTAATTAGAAACATTGTTATGAAACATCACTTTAATTAGAAACATCACTAAACATTTAATTAGAAACATCACTCACTGAGGTCTCCCAACCAACACCAATAATATATTTAGTTTGTTCCGTACACTAGAACTGTTCATTGCAGTGATGAGTTGAACACTCACTCCAATAATGAGAACCTGATTATACTCTTTCTAATGAGGCCCTCACTACCCTCACCTTACTAAGGGCCCTCACAACCCTCACCTTGCTAAGGCCCTCACTACCCTCACCTTACTAAGGCCCTCACTACCCTCACCTTACTAAGGGCCCTCACTACCCTCACCTTACTAAGGGCAAGTTGCTGCGTGTGCTGCAGCCCTCACTACCCTCACCTTACTAAGGCCCTCACTACCCTCACCTTACTAAGGGCCCTCACTACCCTCACCTTACTAAGGCCCTCACTACCCTCACCTTACTAAGGGCAAGTTGCTGCGTGTGCTGCAGCTTGTTGCTCAGCTCGGTCGCCTCTCCATCAGCGATCCTGAGCTCTTCTTCCTTCCTGCTCACCGAGTCCTCCAGCTCCCTGACCTTCTCCTCCAGCTCCTCCAGGATGGTGGAGCCTCCTCCTTGCTTCCTGCTCCTCAGCGAGCTCCTAAGGCTCGAGCTGAACTCTGCTCTCTTCAGCTTGCGCTTCCGTCGAGGAGCTGGCACAGGACCAGGGTTCTCAGAACCAGGCGGGGTTGCGATGCACGCTTTAGAATAAAAAATATAACTCAGTACTCACTGCAGTGAGTGACAGAGAGCGCATTTTCTCGTCGACGAAAACTTGAGGTCACGGACAGACGGACAGACAGACAGACAGACAGACGGACAGACAGACAGACGGACATGGCGAGCACAATAGTGCATTTTTTCTATAAATGAGAAAATGGGCTAAAAATATAATATTAATATAAATAAACAGGCTCCATAGTTATGATACAATATCAATAAATAGGCTTCATGGTTGAGATATGATGCAATATCAATAAATATGCTTCATGGTTGAGATATGATGCAATATCAATAAATATGCTTCATGGTTGAGATATGATACTATATAAATAAATACGCTTCATGGTTGAGATGTGATGCAATATCAATAAATACGCTTCATGGTTGAGATGTGATACTATATAAATAAATACGCTTCATGGTTGAGATGTGATACTATATAAATAAATACGCTTCATGGTTGAAACATAAAACGAAATAAATCCAGTAAACATTTATACATTATTAATTAACACTGTCAATGAAAGTTTCCTTTCACCCTCTCAGTTCATGGTTGCTGATCACACAAAGGAATAAACGATAAAAAACGCCTGCTACTACGGAAATAAATAATTATATTAGCATAGTAAAGAATAGTATATAAAGTGAATAGTTAAATAATGCAAAGCTAATAATTTCGGCAACAATTAAAGGATAGTGCACTAAATAAATAACAAACCTTCATCAGGAACCAGTTCCTGGTTCGGCAAAGTACACGTGGAGACGTCAGGTTCACACGCGACGGCCGCGCACGTCTCTGGTTCGCCGTCAGTGGTTCGCTCTATGTTCCCTCCATCGTCTGACGAAGAGCACTTCAATTATAACACATATTGTTCTGACCAAACATTTAAATAATTGTCTCGAATATTCCTTGGATAATTGATTCAGCGGGTCAATTTCATCACTGAAGCTTACAAAACATTTAACGAAAATATTCAAAATATGAGACCATATTAAAAAACTTAGCCAATATTCAAAACATGATCCAATATTCACAACAAGGGCCAATATTCAAAACATGATCCAATATTCAAAACATGAGCCAATATTCAAAAACTGAGCCAATATTCGCAACATGAGCCAATATTCAAAAACATGAGCCAATATTCAACAAAACATGTGCAATATTCAAAAACTGAGCCAATATTCAAAACATGAGCCAATATTCGCAACATGGGACAATATTCAAAACATGAGCCAATATCCACAACATTATTCGTCACAATTAATAAATAAGAACACAAAAGACACGACGTGCATCGATCAGACCTTCGTCATCAGAGTCGTCGTCGTTGTTGCCGTTCAGGAGATCGCTGAGCGCGTCCACCTGCGCCCGCAGCTCGCGCACCACTGCGCCGTGCAGCTGCGCGCACTCCGCGCACACCTGGCGTGTTCAGGCGTGTTTAAACGTGTTGAGACGTGTTCAGACGTGTTGAGACGTGTTCAGGAGTGTGCAGGCGTGTTCAGACGTGTTTAGGAGTGTTCAGACGTGTTCAGACGTGTTAAGACGCGTACAGGAGTGTTCAGACGTGTTCAGGAGTGTTCAGACGTGTTCAGGAGTGTTCAGACGTGTTCAGGAGTGTTCAGACGTGTTCAGGAGTGTTCAGACGTGTTCAGGAGTGTTCAGGAGTGTTCAGACGTGTTCAGACGTGTTCAGGAGTGTTCAGACGTGTTCCGGAGTGTTCAAACGTGTTCAGGAGTGTTCAGACGTGTTCAGGAGTGTTCAGACGTGTTAAGACGCGTACAGGAGTGCACAGACGTGTTAAGACGTGTTCAGGAGTGTTCAGACGTGTTCAGGAGTGTTCAGACGTGTTAAGAATAGTGCAGATGTGTTAAGTAGTGTTCACGAGTGTGCAGACGTAAATATATTGATTGGGCCAGTATTATTTTACAATTTATTAGAATATGATGACAATGATTCCGTAACATACTCATGGTAAATTTTTTGAAAACTTACACATATTACTCATTTAAACACTTGCTGTGTAAATTCTTTCACTTTTATTTGTTGTAATTCAGAATTTACACAGCAAATGTACTGGCATTCACCCAAAAAATATCCAAATTAATCCCAACAACATGTTATGTGTTTTATATATTTACAATATTTTTTTTATTTAGTGTTATTATGTTTTTGTTATATCTTTTATATTATTTGAATGATTTTATATATCAATAACAAAAAAACTCGTATTACTCACGGTGAGTTTGGCGAGCAGGCGATAAGTCGCCCTGATGGCAGGCTCGACAGGCGAGGAGGCGAGCAGGTCCAGCTCGCGCGCTGCATGCAGCTGAGTCAGCTCACACAGCTGACCTTCCGTCTCCTCCAGGCGACACTCGCGCTGACTCGCCTGCAGCAATCACACAAACTTATACACACGCTGACCACACGTAAGTTTGTACGGAATATACAAGCTAGGACTTGAATATTTTAGCTTGTATATCTGTGTAAACTACTAACTTGTATATTCTGTGTAAACTCACGCTGACAACACGTAAGTTTGTACGGAATATACAAGCTAGGACTTGTATATTTTAGCTTGTATTTCTGTGTAAACTACAAGCTTGTATATTCTGTGTAAACTTACGCTGACCACACGTAAGTTTACACAGAATATACAAGCTAGGACTTGAATATTTTAGCTTGTATTTTAGTGTAAACTACTAGCTTGTATAATCTGTGTAAACTTACGCTGACAACACGTAAGTTTGTACAGAATATACAAGCTAGGACTCTTAAAATTTAGTAGTCAAAAAGTTAATTTAATTTAACTAATTTCATTAAATAATTTACAATTAATTTAATTAAATTACTTAATTTAACTTAATTAATTGGTTTTTAAATAATTAAATAAAATTAATTACTTTAATATAATTAATTTTTAATTATATATTTTCTTAACTTCATTTAATCGCTATTTTAATTTTGTAAAATATCAATACCTGTAGTAAAATATTAAAATATTAATATTATTAATACTAAATATTATTACCTTATTTAGACGATTTTATAAATTAATTAGTAAATATTAACTGACCTGCAGGTTGAGGGCGAGCAGGTCGCTCTCGTGTCTGCGTTTGCGCTCGTCCAGCGCGCGCTCGAGCGCCTCTTTGAGCGCCTCAGCGGCGGCCAGGCGCTCACGCAGGCCGCAGTTCAGCGCCTCGGCGTCCGTCAGCGCCGCCTGCGCCTGCCGCAGCTGAGCGCGCGTGCGCGACACCTGCGCATACGTTGACGTTACGACAGGTATTAGACGTTGAATAGACGTTGAGAAAGCGTTTAAGCGTTGAATAGACGTTGAGTAAGCGTTTAAGGGGACCGTCACCCTCTTTTGAAAACTTTTTCATTTACGAACGGATCGTTTTGAAACTTGATACACATATGTAAAAGAGAAATCTAAGAACTTTTTGTTCATGTCAATTTTTCGAAAAAATGAAAGAAAACGTGAAATTCATAGAAAACGACGAAAAAGGGGGTACTTTAAAAATCTACCTCCTCCTACAAATATCGTGCTACACCATCGAGACACGTATCATTTGATTTGTAACGATCATATCTAAAATCCATCCGATCAATTTTTTTAATTTTCGGGAGGAGGAGGGATTTTCAAAAATTTTCCCAAAAATTTTAGATTTTCCCCCCTCCGCCCTCCCTTTTTGCAAAATATAATCCAAACTATAACGAAATAAAAAAAAAATACTTAAAAAAACTTTTTAAAAAAACACGTTTTTCTTGTGGACTAGAAAGTAGAAAATAAATTATGGTTCGCCCCAAAAAAACGTGTGTCGGGCAGATTTTTAAATTTTGAAAATTTGATGGTGAACGTACAGCCCGACCCACGTTTTTTTGATCGGATGATTTCTAGAGATTTTATTTACAAATCGAATGGCATATGTCTCATCGCTGCAGCTTCAAAATTCTAGGAGGAGATAGGTTTTCCGTAACAATAAGTATGAATGTTCAGGAGAGCGCGACAAAGTCTCGCGCGCATCGCAATAGGCACTCAATGTAGCAAGGATACAAAACTAAACGTTACTGGAGCTTTATTCCACTAAAGGATGATGGGAACGACTGCATGCACACTTCCTCATACGACGCCAGGCGGGTAACTAAGGTGCACCTCAAGCAGACTCTATTTAAAGTGCTCGGCAGCTAATTTCCTCCTATTCTAGTTGTTAAAGAATTCCCTTACCCCCCTCCCTTTCATGATCTGTCGTGAACTCATAAATCAACGTACAGAGATGGTTTTGGTACTGTTGGATAGGTCAGAATGTCAGCTTTAAGATGAGACTAAAAACTGGAAAAGCCAAAATCCAAAATTTTAGGGTAGACGCTCCCCTTAAACGTTGAATAGACGTTGAGTAACCGTTGAAACGTTTAATTTACGTCAATTAAACGTTTTTCGAATGTGATTTGCCTGGCAGATACTGAGACGCATGGTCTCGTACTGTGACACAGTATTGTGACACATACACTGTATTGATTCAAGTTACACTGTATAATGACACTGTATTGCTACAAGTTACACTGTATTGTGATGCACACACTGTATTGATACTAGTTACACTGTATTGGGACACTGTATAGCTACAAGTTACACGTTACACTGTATTACGCTACACTGAAGCTGACCTCAGCTCGGTTGTTGGTCTCGTCAGCGCTGGAGCAGCTGAGTTCCCTCCTGACCTCGACGAGCTGACATTTGACCTCCTCGAGCTGACGCTTCAGCGCGACCTCCGTCGCACGAGCCTCGCTCGCGTCAGCCGCTGAGGTCTCGAGCTGACTTCTCAGCGCTGACACCTCCTCCTCCAGCGCTGACAACTGCATTTAAACAGCATTTTTAATAGTTCATTGAAAAAAACATTTTTATAAATTCATTTTTAAAATTTCATTTAAATTTTTGGATAATTCATAAATTCATAATTCGGCGGAAATAATTCGCTTGTTAATTTGAATAGGTCTTTTCAGAAATACTTTTTTTAGTATATGGTAACATACAATATTAAAAAATATAAATAATCTACCGTACCAAACATATAAAAATATATCTCAGTACTCACTGCAGTGAGTTACAGAGAGCGCATTTTCTCGTCACCGAAAACGTGAAGTCACGGACGGAAAAACAGACGAACAGACAGACAGACGGACAGACAGACGGACAGACAGACGGACAGACAGACGGACATGGCGAATGGCGTTCACAATGGCGCCTTGTTTACCATAAATGAGAAAATTCGCTAGAAACAGGAAAATGTTATAAAATATAGGCTTCATTTCAAGGAGCGTTCTAAGGCGACTTAACTGACCTGTTCCTTGAACTTCCTCTCCTTAAGGACCCAGGAGGCGCAGGAGCGGTCTAAGGACTCCCTCAAGGACTGCTCGGACGCCTCGAGCTCCTCGACGCGCGCCTTTAGGAGCCGCTGCGTCTGCTGCAGGTCCACCGTGCGCCGTACGCCTTCGTGCGCCTGGTGGTGGGTTAGATGTGTCATGATACGTCGTGGTGTGCCATACATGTCATGATGTGTTGTTTGTGCCATACATGTCATGTGTCATAATGTGTCATGATGCGTAGCATGCGTCGTGATCTGTCATTGGGGTCATGGTTTGCCATTTGTATCCTTGTGACATCATATGTGTCGTGATGTGCCATATGTGCCGTGGCGAGTCGCATGTTTCCTGGTTTGCCATTTGTGTCATGGTCTGTCGTTTGTGTCATAGTGTGTCGTATGTGACATGGTGTGCCATATGTCATGGATTGCGGATTGCGCCACATATCGCGGCGCAGGTCAATTAATTACCACTAATACTGTTCCCTGTTACAGGTGCCGTTACCTGTTACAGGTGCCGTTACCTGTTACAGGTGCCGTTACCTGCTACAGGTGCCGTTACCTGTTACATGTGCCGTTACCTGTTACATGTGCCGTTACCTGTTACAGGTGCCGTTACCTGTTACATGTGCCGTTACCTGTTACAGGTGCCGTTACCTGTTACAGGTGCCGTTACCTGTTACATGTGCCGTTACCTGTTACATGTGCCGTTACCTGTTACAGGTGCCGTTACCTGTTACA